TACTACTACTAACAACAACAACTACAACAATAATTACTACTACTACTACTACTACTAGCAGCAACAGCAGTAGCAGTTGTAGCTGTAGCTGTAGCTGTAGCTGCAGTAGTACTCCAGTAGGCCTGTGTGGCGAGGGCTGCCATGCGTGGGTCCCTGCGGCCAGCAGTGGCCAGGACCTGCAACATACACCCACGGTTGGTCTTCTAACATTAGTCGGAATGCAGTGTTGTAAACGGGATTTGCTTGCAGTTCCTACGCCTCCATGCTTGAGTTCGTGGTTAAGCTGCTTGTCTGAGCCTCCGCAATCGTTGCCACGATGGCGAGTCGGACTAAAACATGCACCTGCTACGGATGTCTGATAACTATCCCAGGGCCTGGCAATCCACGCTCCACCGATGGAAGTAACCCCGTGAGCCTGTAAATGCCACACCACCGGAAGAACACCGGAAAGCCCTGATGTGGAATTAGTGGCTTTCCCTGGCGGATGGTGGAAGACAATATGCAGTGCAGGTTTCAACCCGGCATGGTCTGGGCCTCTGCAGCCCTTTCTGCCCGAGTGTTGACTGCAGACTCCTCCCAAATCTAGCGATCTTCTTCTGGCATTTAAGCTTGGAGATGTTTGTCTGAAGTAGTAAGTAGTTGAAGGCTTAGGGTGATTCTTCGGTGTGGCGACTCCCTAGAATCCACTTGAGTCTAGCCACAACCGTAAATCTCAAATCTGGAAGTCTCAAGCCCCAACCCACCCCACCCCGCTCGCTCGCGCTCTCGGACTCTCGAGACTGAAAGCCGAGAGGTCCTGAAGGAAGGAGGTTGCAAAGGTCTTCTCGAAGTTGGCGTGTGCCTTCGGCAGTTCTTCAAACTTTGGCCGTCGAGCGCTTCGAGCGTGAGGCGCCACTGGGAAAGTCAAAAGTTGGGGTTCTCGCTCCTCAGACCTGAAGCAAGCTGCGCTTGCGCTGGCAGCTGTAGGAGTGGAGGACTTCACCCTTCGGATCCCTTCAGCCTTGCCGCTTAACAGCTGTGCGGTGCAAATTCTGAACCTCTGGTAGATCACATCCTGCTGGCTTCAGAGTTGCACTGCTGGTTCTTTAAGGTCTCAAATGCTGCGAAACAAACAGCTCAAACAACATCCTGGCCCGGAACACCTCGTCGGCATCCAAGATCTCAATGGCCTTGGAAATTGCCTCGGCTTCCTGGCAGAATCTCTTCTGCTTGGAGTCTCAGTCGAAGCTGCAAAACCCTGCACGCGTGCCTGCACCATGCTTAAACCGAGATCCCGAGGCAGTCTGGCGGACCCAACGCTTCCCACCGCCCGTGCCGCCCGTGCCCGCAGCGGTGCCTCACCACGGGTCTTCTGGCGCTCATCCCACTCTGCGTCCATCTCGGCGCACTGCTTCTTCACCTGGGTACTGACTCCCTGCTGTGTTCTTGCGATTGCTCAGCAGAGCTCCATAACCAGGGATGGGGTCATCTACTCCGGCATTCCTCAGTCGAGCCACGGTTCAGAAGCAGCTGGGGCTGGTAAGCATTTTCATGTCGGGCTCCATTCCAGGATACCTGTTTCGATACTTGTCCTGTTTCAGGAGCAAGAGGAGCTACTGTTCCTCAAGGGCTCCTTCAGCTGCAGCGTCGGAGAGTGACGCTTTCAGATCCGGGGAGGTTTTCTGACCTGCTGAAGGGGCCTGCTCCGAAATTTCAGGCTCCACATACAAAAGGCCGGCAGAAATCCTAAGCTCAAGCCTTAAACCTGCCTTCGGCCCAAACCTGGAACCCAGGGCCTCGCCAACGAAGGAGAGATCTGACCCGAGCACGCCCTCGGTGTCCTTGATCTCCTGCCTTGGCCAGGCCAAACGTCTTGAGATTTAGACTTCGGACTCCGAGTCTTGGCTTACGCATCTACGGCTTACCCGGGGTTTGGGGTGCAGGGGTTCTGGGGTCTTTAATCTAGGTTTACTTGAGGGTGGAACCTGATCACGTCAGTTCGGTATTTAGGCTTCAGATTGCGACGCCTAGGATTTAAGGTTTAGGTGTTAACAACTTGGGGCTGGAGCTTTTCGAGATTCCGGTTTCTGTATCAGCTTCTGAAAAGCCATCTGACACGGGCTAACCCATGCAGCCTCTTATGAGGGCAAGACCAACCCCGAACTCGCGCGCAAGACTCATAGTTGGGGTGCGCAAGGCTTTGGAGACTCGATCAGACTCACGTGGGAGTTACGCCGTCTTGGTCGTCCAGCGTGCGCCCTGTAGTCTTTGTTCTGCTACTACAAGTAGATGTACAACTACAACTACAACAGCAACAACAACAACCACTACTACTACTACTTCTTCTTCTTCTTACTACTACTACTACTACTACTACTACTACTACTACTCCTTCTACTACTACGACTACTACTACGACTGCTGCTGCT